ATTATTATGAATTTACAAGGCAAATGCTTTACTTGAGAGAACATGCCAATTTGTGCTTGAAAAACTTTAGACTGAGCCTTCTGAAATTACATCAATTTTAACAAAATTAATTTTCTTTCAACATTTCCTGCAAAACTGGGCTTTCCTCCAGAAAAGAATAATTCCTTGTAATTTTGTATATAAAATGTATTTTAAATATATATAAATATAAATATGAAATATAATATTATATATTTTTTCAATTGTAAGTATGTCAATTTTTATGCTTTTGTCCCAGTTTTGTTTCTAAAAATTTATAAGTGTTGCTTTTTAGTCTTTTTACTCAATGAAATTTTCATTAGAGTCTTTCTTTTTGATTGGCTTGAAAATTTGCAAAAGAAATCGTTGAATGGCTTCCAGCCCGCACAAATGTCAAATGTTATGAAAGGTTTCTCTGATTTTTATTTTCGCAGAGATTTCTAATTGAAATGGTCAATTTCAGACTTTCAGAGCGGTGATGTGTTTTGGCCTCAGGGCTCAAGTAAGATCGCCGGCTATTTACTCGACGCGTGTAATAAACGAGCAATTGCGAAGCACGCGGACTCTGCGATTTGTAGAGCACTCTGGTTTCAAAATTTCGTCATAAATAAATTGAATCACGAGTGCGCACTCTTTGAGCATTTTATTGTGTGGTCTCTCTCTAGGCCTCTACCATTGTAAATTTCCTTAAGCACCGAGCAGATTATATGTTTGTGCACATAAACACCGACATTGTCTCACTTTTTATAATATAAAGCAATTCTTTCCGTAACAATCGTTCCGACCTTGCGACTTTGCTCTTTTCTTGAATTCCTTACCCCCGTAGAGCCGCTCAAAAATCTTTCTTATAGTTTGGACAAATTTATGAGGTTCTGGCCATGTTTCAAATTGAACTTAACAAACAAGGCATTAAAATAATTATGTCTGAGGGCCTAATTAGGAGAAATAGTGAGCTGTTTCTTTTGTCACACAAAAGCATCTCTGGTTCAAGGTTGTTCGGTTGCAATTTAATTGCGAGTGCAGCGAGCGGAATCCTTTCGAAAATTATTCAAATTAGTTAAGTTTTATTGTGCATAATTTTGCAATTAGCTGCCCTAGGCATATTATGCTGCGACTGGCTCTTAGTTAGTTTTGCAAATGACACTGACCCCGAACTCTTGGTTGGGCATTTATAACTCGGCGGCGTTAGTTGTGCCATAAAACTGACACAGCGCCCGACAAAAACGCGTAGGCAATTACTTTCGGAAGCAGACAGGTGTTTTAGATCCTTTAAATTATCCTTGATATTGTGACGAGAAAGTGGTAAATCTGGGAAAGAATTTAAATTAAATAAATTTTGAATAAATTACTATAACTACTATAAGTAATAAAAAAATAATAAAAACTTTGTTTAATTTAAGTTTTTAGATTAATTTTTTTTTCATCCTCTGATACTGCTGTATTATTGGTTTTGTTAAATAGAATCTCGTCTCACACAATCATAAATAAATGGTTTTTTGTTAGATTTATTATATTTTTCCTGGAAAATCATTGCACTAATTTTGTGGTCTTTATTCAAGCAGCACATTACTATAATGTGGCCCTAGATTTTTTTAAGTTGTTATTTAAACTTAAATGACTTTTCCAAGTAAGCTTCGAGGAGGTGATTTTAAACGAGGCTCTCATTCTCATTACATTATTTTATTGCTCAGCAATACCACCAATACTTGCAAAAGCATAATTACATAAAATCCTCGTGCCAATTTAAGGGATTTGAATTCAAGCAAATTTCGCTGTCACGGCTTATCACGTGCAAATTTCTTCGAGACTTAATTGAAAATGAAAACAGGGTCATGCACGAATTCATTTCAATTCACATTCACGATCGATTTTTGCGCAAGGAGATACACATGAGTAAGGCGACGAGTCACCGCGCGATGCTTTCTTTCCCATGCCGCGGCGGGTAATTGAGAATCTCCCGCGAGTGCAAACATCTTCATCTCATTACACAGCAATTCATTCAGCCGTTATTGCCCCCCGTCACATGCACCCACACTATGAAGAGCATGCGAGCGTCGTAAAAATAATGCAATAGAGTAGACAGAAAGATATCCCTATGGCTGCAACTTACACTAGCTCCCGACAGTGCGACCGCGTGCTGCATTCATTTCCGCCTGGTGGAATCAAATTAGGCTTTGATCATGACACCTCTATGTGATATAATTCTGACGTGGTTGAATTTGAGATTGTGTAATAAGTATGAAAGAAACTTGGTTATATACAGGTAAAAAAAAAAAATGGAAACTTTTTTAATAAGATAAAAGTAATTTTTTATCGGTTAAAATAGAACCAAACACAAGAAAAATTGAAATTGTGACTAAATATTTAATTTCTGATCTACTCTGTTTCGCTCATTTTATGCATCTTTGTAGTTGCGATTATTAAATATAATTGTTTTTATTTATTCAAATTGTTACAAAAGGTTTGAAATTTAGATTGAAGAAAAATAGTTAAAATAATCATTATTAATTCTATAAATATTAAATATAAATAATCAATTTTAGTAATCATTGCGAAAATGTTCTATTTTTTACAGTTCTCACATACTTTGTTTGGTTAATATCAGGAAGAAAATTTATAAACCTGCTGCATTATTTCGCAACCCAACGGAGACAGTTTGAAATTATGTGTATGTGCTCCGTAGGGAAAACGAGCTCAATTATTTAATCATGAGCTTTGTGACGACGGATCTATCTGCTCTCTCGCTCTGAGTAAAAGTGCGCAGAATTATCCCATGGAAACGCTCGACCATTCATCACGCCGGTATAAGTAGAGCATTTTGCATTGTGTTTGTTGAGAGTCATGTTTGACGCCGAGTAATTGGGCACACTTTGTCAAAAATTTCCATACCTTATTTGTCAGATATGATCAGGTTAATAAATTTTGATCATTTCATCAAGAGTTCCATAGTATTTAAATAAAGTATTAATTTTTAATTTCGACCATATTTAATTTTTGGTGTAGTTTCCAAATTTTATTAAGAAATAAAAGCAAATTTTTCATTTGATTAATAATTGACAAAATTTCAAAAACAAATAAATATTGTTCTATAAAATTTACGAGTTTGAAAATTAAATTAGTTGTTGTGTAAATAATCCAAAATTAATTATGAAAATCATTGTTTTTGTTCAATTGGAATTATACATTAAAAAATTTGATCTTATATCGAAAAAGTCACGCCCCATACGGAGATAAATCCGATTGCCATTATCTGGGGCTAGTGAAGCAACAAATTGGCTGGTGAGAAAGCGACTCCTCTGGGAACAAGGAAGGGTCCGCGCTGTGTCTCTCTTCTTTCAGATTCACTTTTAATGAATTTTGCAACTCATAGCGCATTGTTGTCAATTAATCATCAAAGTGCGATCACCGCGTCGCACGCGTACGTGTGTGAAACGAGAGCTGCGTCTGGCACATTGTTTGGCAATCTTGCGCCTCTCTAGCTAATTTTATTGCATCTCGTCCGCGCGAATTAGTTGCGTAACCCTTGCGGAGGCTGCAACCGAACTGAACTGGTTCCTCATATAGCGGTAGCGTGGATTATTAATGCTCGCGGGAGGATTTTTGCATTTAATTATTTTTGGATAACAAGATGTGCGTGAGGATAATTTAGCGTGAATTTGCAATTTTAAAAATAACAACCTCTTCTTTTTGGCGAAATAAATTTATCATTAGTAAATCACGATGCGTATAGGTGAGGAAAATGTAGTGTGCTCATTTCTTAATAATTTCTTCATCAGCTAGACCAGCGAAAAAATTCAGGAAAATGAGATTTGGTCTTTAATAATTTTAATAAACTTTTATAATAAAGGATGGCTCTTTAAAAATACTATTTTTATGTATGAAGGCATTTAGACTTCATAAAAATCTGCAGATCAATCTTTTTTAAAAGAAAATTTAAAAAATATATCACATTTACTTATCCGTGACCGTATTTTAAAATAGCTTCAAGAGTTTAAAAAATTATTCATTTATCTTTAATCTAGATTAAGGTGGCTTTTAAATGTGTTAATATTTCACTGCAAAAATACAACATCATACTTTTTTTCAAACACAGTACATATATTACTACAATTATCAAGATTTTGTGTTAAAATTCTAGTAATCATATTATCATATCTTAATTTCAAGTTATTGCAACAAGTTGTTTCATAGTCTTATTCCCAATCACTAGTAAAAGAACGGGAGCATGGTCAAATCTGAATCACTAGATACGTCACGTCACTTCTTTATTTTTCCTTATAACAAAAATTCAACGAATTTTTTGCTTGTGATAATCGACTGAAGCGCTAATGTGTGAAAACTTAAGAGAGACTAGAGTGAGCAATTAAGGCGCTTTGTTTTTAAACCAGGAGATGCAATTTTAGGCGCTATTTTTTTGCTGAAGGTCAAGGATTGTGCCCCATTCCTTTGCGACATTTTTTTGCATTTCACATGATAATTGCCTTTAAACTGCTGTAGCATTGACTTTTTGCACCTGGTGAGAAACTTCATCCTCCTGGCGACAAATGAGAAAAGTGGAGTAATTCGCGGAGGCTTTGTAATTAAATGCTTTAAAACTCTTCCATTTTTTTGCACTTATTAATTGTTTTTGTTAAAAAATTTATATTGAAGAAAGAAACCTACAAACCCTGTTTCCTGTTAAGGCTTTACCAAGAAATGTAAAATTAATATTTTAATTAAGGATGAATTGAGGAGAATCAGAAATTTTAATTTAACCTCAGAAATAGGCAACTTTGGCGAGTTGAAGTCGATTTGGACTTTCATCGTTTTTTTCGCAATCGCACTTCCTATCCTGCTGCATGTGTGTGGGTCTCATTACTGTTTTTTTTTCTTTCTTGCAGTAGCGGCGAGAAGTGAAAAGTGGTCTTTGAGAGTCGGTTGCTTTTTTATCAGGAGGGCACAGTGTGCATTGAATGGGACCCTGCTCCCATGCTGCCGCCGAAGACCGCGCCCGCTCGCTCCCTTCTACCACCGCTCAGGTAAGACTACCTTGTTCCTCCAAGTGTCCGGTGCTGAGTATAAAAGCGTTGCACTCTGACGGGAACAGCATCACTTGATCACATCAAGCAATCAAACACACACATACAATGGCTTTCGTTAAGGTAAGCTCCCTGAAAATTTTCCATTTTTACACTCGCGTTTTCAGATGGATGAAAAAACAATATCTTTCCTTATTTCATATTTAAACATTTCTTTTGCTTTTTAAATTTTCTCTTGTATCATTATTATTTATTTTATTTTTTATTATTTAGATATAATTTTAGAGAAGTAATGCATCCATAAATATTTACGAATCTATTTCTCACACAATTATATAATTCTAAAATCTTAAAAAAGATTATAATTTTCGTTAGTAAAATTTATTTTCAACCAAATATTGAAACTTTTCCGTTAATCTTGTATTATATTATTTATATTCAATCTAAACGCTATCAGTTGATCCCACTCAATTATTAATTTTTGAAAAATTTCATCAAATAATTGAAAACGCTGAACATAGAATATGATATTGTAAAAATACGCCCAGCATTTAAAATTCAGTAATACAAGTACTGCTTCCTGCATTGCGTTACATTTGTTTTCCATCTTTGGTGGGCAGTTGTTATTTTAGCCTGATCGGTTTAGACACAATTATATCATCGTTTCAGGAAAAGCCCGAATCGATCCACTTAAAGCTCGATCCGCTTTCAAAGTCGTGCTCATGCATGTGGGTTATGTAAATCGCTCGTACTTTTTTATTGCACTCGTCTGCATCGCATTAAAGCGCTCGTGACCAAAACTTTCACTTTCGGCCGCCGCGCCTCTTATGCAACCGGCACGACGCACCTGTCGTGCTCTTGCCTACCCGCTCTGATCTCATCCTTCCTTTGTCTCAGGTCCTGGCCGTCGTGGCCCTCGCTGCCGCCGCCAACGCCGGAGTCGCCCCCGTCGGCTACGCTGGCTACGCCGCCGCACCCGCCTATGGGTACGGCCGCGCTTATGCCGCCCCCGCCTACGCTGCCGCCCCCGCCTACGCTCGCGCCTATGCCGCCCCCGTGGCCACCGCTACCTATGCCGCCCCCGCCTACGCTCGCGCCTATGCCGCCCCCGCTGTCGCTGCCTATGCCGCCCCCGTGGCCACCGCCCACTATGCTGCCCCTGCTCACTACGCCGCCCCCGCCGTTGTCAAGCAGCCCGTTGACTACTACGTAAGTTTAATTAATTTTAATTTTTAATATCAGAAATTTTTTAAATGAAAAAAATTGATTTACATATTCTATTCTATTTTTCATAGAAATTTATATCAATAAAAAAAAATGCGTCGAATTTAACTTAAGCACAATCAATTATTTACAATTCATTCGAGCTGCTTTGAACAAGCTTAAATTATTTTTTGCGGTATTCAATAAATCGAAAAAATTCAATTTTCATCCCACATTTTTACATTTCCAATCACTATTTTTAAATTTAACTGATTAATTATGCTCTTAATTTAGAAAATAAATTCAATTTTGTTTTCATAATTTTTTAATTTGTTTCGTTAAATCAACAGAGCCACCCTCAGTACCAGTTCGAGTACGCCGTCCACGATGCCCACACCGGTGACGTGAAGAGCCAGAGCGAGCACCGCGACGGAGATGTTGTCAAGGGCCAGTACTCCCTTGTCGAGCCCGACGGCACCACCCGCACCGTCGACTACACCGCTGATGCCCACAACGGATTCAACGCCGTCGTCACCAAGTCCGGACACGCTTCCCACCCTGCCCCCGTTGTCCACAAGGCCGTTGCCCCCGTGGTCGCCCACGCCGCCCCCGTCGTGGCCCATGCCGCTCCCGCCTACGGCTATGCTGCTTACCACCACTAAGGAGTTTTACCCCTAAACTTTTCCTTTCAAAAAAGACTTTCCCCCCAAAACCAAATCTCGCCTCATAAGTCCCTCGCCTCATTGTGTATTATATAATTGCGCGTCCGCCGCTTGACTCTTCGATTGATCGTTCCATGATTCCTCTGATTTGCTATGCGAGCATCAACGTTTGATTATTTCTTTCCTCGCTTATCCACATCACGCACTGTTGAATGCCATTTTCATCTCGCGCACCACTGCGCGGTTTTTGTAATAAGACATGTATGACAATGAAGTCAAAAAATAAAAAATAAAAACAAACAAAAATCTCTTTTTCCTTTATCCTCTGAATTTATATTACAAAATCAGTAAAGTAGAAATATGAAATATTTAAAAAATAAGTGAAATAGAAACTTAGAAACACAGAAAGACCAGGTGTTGATAGAAATTGAATGCCATATTTTAAATATCAATTTTTAAAAGGTGCGAATAATATAGTTGTGCCTAAAATTTTGCTTACTTTCTATTGCATATATCCCTAGAATGATAAAATAAGCAACAACCGATCCGGTATAATATAGCTCTGCTGGACTTCAACCGTAAAAAAATAAGATAAATTTAGAGCAGCTAGAGCTTAAAAGGTACTCTCTGCACTCGTCTTTATTAAAAAACCTCTTTTTTATTAAAAATACAGCACAATAGAACTGGCAAAATCTCTTCAGGATCAAGAAATATTTTTCAAAATTAACGACTGTAAATTTAGAGCAACTAGAGCTTACAAGGTAATAAGATAATGACTGAAAATTGATGCAATTTCACCAAACTGACAACCATTAATAACCTGTTTTACCATCGATGTATGCAGCACGCTAATCCGCCGTGTCTAGAGTGTTGCAGAAACTCACGAATCAAATAGGAAATCTTTTCGTTTCAGTAATAATTAACATTCTGTTTCTCGACTATTAGAACCTTTTTGTATTTTCAAATATACAAACAAAGCAATTGATCCAAAATATTTAAAATCAAAAATATAATAATATCATAAGTTCTGTTCGTTTGTCTTTTTAATTTTACCATACAGTGCAATTTAATTTTATTCAAATTGATTCCAATTAATTTCTTTCCCGTTATAGTTGGTATATATATATAATAGTTCTGTTTCATAATTGATGCATGATCTGTTTTAAAAATCAAATATGCGATTATCTACCAAAGCAGAAGATATTTTTTTTCCAAACATTATTCTTTACTTTTGATTGATTGTGAAAGCGAAAGGAATTCCACGTAAACACACAATTAGTCATGCTATGGGCAGCGGATTGCAAATAAAATTACCTGTTGATAGCTTGTTATAAGAGCGATCCAAGCGCGGCACATGTAAGTACATATTCCAGATATCTGCGGTATACAAAAGGATTAAAAACTGGCATTGAATTAACAGTTATTAATAAAATGATTAAATTCCCTTATTTTAACCATAATAAAGCCGAAAATAGCAAGAAATATGAGCAATTAAGGTCAAAGATTATATTTTAAATTTTAAATACTAAAAAGAGTATGAATTATAACATTTTCAAAGTTAAGCTAAAAGAATATTTGTTGAGGCTCAATTTAATTAATTAATTGTTTACAATTTATTGTAAAATTACCAAATATTCTTGTACTACACAGTAGTTTACAACATTTTACTGCATTATTCATAGTTCAAAAACCAAATTTAAAGGACGTTTGAATTGGACTAAACATTATTTTGAAAAAGCGTTCCGCATAAAGCACTTTAATTAAGTGACTTAAAAATTATCAAATTGCCCTAAAGCATAAAGACTAGTAAGTTGGTATTATACCCCGATTTATTAACCGAGATGCGGTGAGCAGAGAAATTGCCTCTTCGGTGGCTAACATCGTGTGAAATGAAGTAATAAAGTTTGTATATCTCGTTGACGAGCACAAGTTAAGCCCTTGGCAGTGAACAGCAGTAGGACGTTCTACCCAAGCTGCTGGTAGGCCTCTCATCCGTTAGCACACGATCGAGAGATGCACTGTTTTTTTTTTTACCTTTTTCCTTCCTCGCAGTGGGCTGGGTTGAATAAAATGATTGTGCGCTTATGGTTGTTCAGAGCGCGGTGAAACTCATCAGCAGACGCCGCCGAAAGTGACACGCGCTAAAGAGATCGAAATCACTCTCTCTCTCAAATTGCCAGCCAATAAATTAGAATACATACGTGAGCGAATGCATGCGGATTGCATTTCTTGTTACTTATTCGCGAAATGGCACAGATTTAATAAAATAGTATGTATTTGAATCTACTAAAGTTTGGGAAATATATTTTAATGTATAATTTAGCAGTAAACCTTTAAAAAAAACATGATTCGCTCACTACTGATTGGTTTGAACGGCAATTGATTTTTTTTGTAAGTAAATTGCTAAAGGAAAAAAGTAATCATTACAAAATAAGACTACTGTAATTAATTCTGTTGTCTTTTAATTTAATGAATAAAAAAGAAGCAGAAATACTACAAATACCTTTAACCATTTCTTATGTTTCTTGAAAGGGGATATTTTATTCTGCTACAAAATTTTCCATTTTAAAAGATCACTTCTCAACTCATCAAAAATAAAAATAAAATATAATGTAATAATATAAATAAAAATCTCTTTAAAATGTAAATTATTTTGTATGCAAATTTCATAACATTCAATTTATTTTTACACTCACACCCTTACAAACTGTAAAAAAAAATTTTTTATTTGAAAAACATCCATCAATATATTTTGACATGGTTTAATATGATAATTAGAGGTGTATTTTTAAACCAATAAAGCCAGAAGTTTAGTAAAATAATAATAATAGATAATCTTATAGTACTATATTATACTGTGTTGAAATACAAATCAAATTATTTTAGAACAATGCAAGATCAAGTGACCTAACCGCGAACAGACTCGTGAGAGTTATAAGTAAAGCTAACATAACACCTCATTATATTTCTACTGTGTGTAAATTGCCGCAAATTGTCATGTATACTTCCACCTTCACTACCTGAAAGAAAGATCTATAAACCATAAATCGTAGAACACTGGAAGGCGCTGCATATTATTGTGATTAGTTTAGGCGCACGTAAGCTGGCACAAGACACACGTTTGTGGGGTTTTTTGAAAGCGGATTTGTGCAATAATTCAATTTGTTGGAATACAAGCGATTTACTTTCAAGCTAATTTTCCTTTTGGCCTAGAGTTTTACTCCACAGGTACTTGCCCGTGTACACACATACTGATATTGCAAATTGATAAAAGTCGAGCCGCGCAAACTATTCGTTCTCACATTGTTTGAACTTGTGCCAAAAATCGCTTTCTTATTCTCTTTTTTATTTTCTATAAATTGGGTTCCGCGCACTTCACAAACTTTTAAAATTGAGTAAAATTTATTTCACATTGAAAAAAATGATTTTTTTACACAATAATCTCACTTTTGAATGGAAGAAGGAAGAATGACTTATATTGCGCTGATTAATTTATTACCAATTGCAAACCATAAAGAGAAAAATAAATTACCATGGTATAATAAAAATAAAATCTTTTAATTACTATATCAGCCAATTCTGAAGGAAATACAATGAATCGTAGTTGCAGTTCTTATCCTTGACCAGAGCTTGGAATTTGTCTCTGTCAAAAATAAGGTTCTTGAATTCGCCATCTAAAATTACTTAAGGTATTAAAAACTATTTCAGCAATCAATTAAAAAATTGTATCCTTGAGATCACCTGAGATTTTATAATTTACAGCCTACCTTTGCTTTGAAAGTTACAAATTTTTTTTTTTTTTTTTTTTGCAATAATATTGCGATAATTAAGGAAACATGAATAGTGAAATTTTTAGCGTATCCTTAGCTTGCAAACAAGACAAAGTGGAAAGTGGCAAAGAAAAGCGTCCTCCGCCCACGGTGACAATTTATTCGGATCAGGTTGTCAATCACACGTACACCTTGTCTAACACTCTTGGCCGGCGAGCCATTGAACTTGGTCGCTAAATTGGCGATTTATGGCTGTTGGCCTAGGACTCTATGGCCGCTACGTGACCGGCAGGCCAAGATTGTCCAATATCATGCCGGACTTCAGCTTGGAGGATCGCAGCTCGCACTTGAAATCATCCTGCCCGGCTTGGACGCAGGAGGGGATCCGAGTATAAAACGTCTAGAATGGAAAGCTCCAGGCGTCATTTGTGATTACTATCATCGCCGTGCTGGGCAAAATGCTGAATTCTAGGATATCGCTCATCCAGGCAAGTGCTTATTATTTTTTGCTGAAAAAGGCCAAATTTTATATTTAAAATAATTTAATTTATAAACAGTTAAAAATTTGTTTACTAAAAAAAACTTTAAATGTTTTTGCATTGAATGAGTTTTTCAACGATCCTAATTTATCGTTGCTTTTCAATATCATGTATTAAAAACTTATTAATATCAGAGTGTATTTTGATATTGAAATTAAATAAAAATTCTGCATTTATTGCACGTTTTGTAATTTAAGTTTTATTTTAATTTAATAATCTTTTACATATTTTTGTAAATTTACTTAAAATTTATTCCTATTTATCTAATTATGCAATTTTAAATTTATGATTTTTTCATTTGCAGTTGGTACTGGTGTTGCTGACAGCGACAAATTACCTCGGGTCAGCCTCACCCAGTTTGGCTCCATCACCTGTTTACACAGCTTTGCCACCAAAGGATTACTATGTAAGTAAAAATTATTAAAAAATTCTTTTATGCTCCAATTAACTTTTGAGGAACAGTTCAAATAAAAATTATTCATATTAAAAATTAATTATTGAAATTTGCTCTCCCCAGCCGAGTCATTTAAATGCTGTGCTCCGCAAGAGAATAATTAGTCTAAATTAAATTAGTGCATAGAGCGTTTCAATAATTGCACCGAATCACGCATGAGGCAGGAAGTGCCGCGAATTTTTCTACGTTTGTGCATAAAATAAATAATCTGGGTTTGCTGAATTTCCAGAGTGCGAAAATTTATTTTCTCCGTGATTTGCACATTTTCTTGATAAACCAAGCAGCCGGCTATTAATTGTTTATTGAGCGAAATTTCTCTCAGATCCATTTATATTTGCTGTCGGTTTAATTTACCCGTGGCAACTCTCTTCCGCTTTGTGCTGGAAGGAAGTAGGGAAACGCATTTATTACAGTTGGACACATCTGGATGCAGCATCCCGCCGCAACTGCACATCTAATAGATTTATGTAGTTGTACTTTCGCTTTTTCATCGGCTCAATTTTACTTGAGCAAATAGTGCATTAATGATAGAGATCTGCTGCACACATAAAGCGACCGGCTCAGATCGGAATGAAAATTGTTTCAAATTACGTACGGTGAAAGAGTCGTGGAAAATGTATAATAATCACACGTCGCCAAGATTTATTTCTGCTGAATTGTCTTATATTTTCTCATAAAAAGTTGCTTCACTTCATTGGCGTCTCGGTTGTGACACGAATAAGTTGAAATAATCTAAAATCATTCTCACTTTCATTCAACGTAAGCAAATTTTAAATCTTCTTTCCTGGAAGAGACTGCGTTAAGCGTCATGATTGTGCAAAAGCTACACAGAGTGAAAATGATTTTCACGTCACATAGAAATCTTTGAAAATGCGGGTATCATCATAAACCGGCCGAATATATATTTTATTTTCTGGAGGTGGTGGAGAGCGAGAGATTGGCAGATAATGTCGCGTTCGAGAAATTGTAAAAATTAATTTACGGCCTCGTGTGTTTCCGATCTGGAAGTTGGTTTTAAAACACGCGAGATCTCTTGAGAAGTTCCCTCCGGCGGGATTGCTCATGAACTAGGTCATTATCGTAATTTAACCGCAAATATTCCCATACAGCTCAAGTATATAATAGCCCATGGCAGCTATTCAATTAGTGGAAAATTTGTTGACTTTTCTTTTTATAAATTCGTCTCTTCTGATTGTGAGATGTTTTTAATTAAATGCTAAATGAAATAAGTTTTAATTTGATAAATTTCAGATTATTCTGCCTAGAGTTCATAAATTTATTTTAGCCAAATAATTGTCTATGCAACTTTTTCTTAGTCTTTTGATTAAAAATCATGGAAGGACCCTTTTAAAGATTTTTTTCTAATTTATTAATTAGTTTAATAATTTAAAAGGATTTCACTTTTTCCTCTTCAACCAAATCAATGTTTTAATCGCTGTCCATAATATTTCAATAAACGCCAACTTCATGCATGATCCCTCCCACAATTAGATGAGTTATCAGGGCCCTTAATGTGGGAGAATGTTGATAAAAATTTTGCATGCTCGTGCGGCTCCGGTGTGCGAAAGTTTTACCATGTAAGTGAGAGAGGAATAAAATTCTCAATGAACGGCACCACTTATGCACTTAAAGCCAAAGAAGAAGCTCAAAGTGAAAGCACTAAAATTAGCGTAGTTTATTTTTATTGTTGGATGTCACTTCAATTACTCTTAATTAGGCTTTAAAATTTTAATATAAATTAATGTCCCAAATTCCATCTTGAGAGATCAAAGAGAACGAAACATAGTCATGCTCAATTTAACTGCGATCATAATTTTATAGGTCAGCTAGAAAATTTACTTTGGATGATCGAGGAGAAAACTTCCATTTGTTATTCCAAATTTTTCACAATGTTAATAGAAAGTGATTAAGATATTAAAATAACCAGTCAAGCGATCCAAGAGAAGTTGCAAAAATAAATCAAATTACTTCATAAAATGAGAATATCAATTAGAAGAGACTGCATGATAAAGTTTCACAAACAAAAAGTATCCATATCAAAGAGTGAGAGCTTTCTTTTTACATTTAATATCTAATTCTCTGCTCGTCAGTCGATGCGACATATTTTCTCAATAAAAAACCTTTATCGCTTCTGTCCATCATTAACGTTCTCCCGCCTGCATTTCAATATCGGACGTCACAAAAACGGATGATTTCTCTCTTGTCAAAATGTTTTCCACTCAATAAAGCACGTACGCACTACAAGTTGTTGGCGGCGGAGCATTATAATCAATTCGCAGCGTGCTCACTACAAAACAAACTTTCAAATGTGTGATTAAGACGGACAAGCTGCTTCGTTTTATTGCAATGCACGCACGTGCACAAATGAAAATAATGCCGCGCTCTCCATGCTGCACTGGCCACAGCACTTTTAATTCTTCTCACTTTTACTCAAACACGTCACGTGGCCGAGCGCCCACAGAATCAATTTTTTTGGCTGAAATTATTAGGAACTAGGAACGCACATGAAGTAAAGTCAGACCGCAAATTTTATTTGATCGGTCCATCAAAATATACTTTTTTATTGACACAATAAATTTAATTGTACATTAAGAGGATGTAAAGGTTTACTTTTCAGTTGTGGATGATACTATCGAATAAATTCACAGCTGATGATTGAAAAATTATTCATTAAATTCTTGTACACATTTTAAGCTAAAAAATATATTCCTTCTTATTGTTTGCAGTAAAAGTTAGAGAAAGCCTCGTTTGAAACAAAGCTATTGTTTCTGAATTGCAAATTAACTTATTATATACAAACCAAGCGTACTTAGATTTTTTTTTATTTACTTTCAAGCACGTTTTTGCAGAAGAAAAAAAGGAAATTATAATTTACTTTCTTGAAAACTCGATGTCCGTGAAACGGCTAGAGTTAATTATCACAATGTTTAGTGATGAGCGCATTTTCTTTTCATAAATTCTTTATTTGTTGAGAATGAAATTTTTTCTACTTCGGCAATTTGAATAATTATCTCTGCCTAGCAGGAAGTGATCCATCGCTCTATTTTTGACAAAAATAAATCTGCATCACGCACAAAACTCTTGTAAAAAAAATAAGTGCTTGCTTGACCAGCAAAATAGGTCCGCGAGAGGAGTGAGTCTTAAGGGACGGGCACAGCCTCCACGTGGCGGATTACTTTTTTCACACTCTCGTTCAGAAGAAATTGCCGTGTATCATATCAAGTTCTGAGAGACGAGCTTTCATCGCACACGCGAGTAGTAGCCCTCAGCAAATTGATTTAATTGGCAATTTGCATGTTTTTTCTTTGGTTCGCTAACGCGATCAGTGAAAGTCTATTCTCTTCTTGTAGACAACTTAATTTTCTATGAAAAATGTGGCTGATTGCTTTTTTCATGAATATTGCAATTTTCGGTTAAAATTGGTTTGATAATGATTTAGTAGAGTTCAGCGCTTAACTTAATTATCTCATGAAACCTCGCTTACTCACTCTAAAAAAAAATAATTAATTTTCAGGCGGTTCCTAAGTACAAATTCAGCTACGGCGTGACGGACCTTCACACCGGGGACATCAAGCACCAGACGGAGACGCGCGACGGCGACTTGGTGCAGGGCGAGTACAGTTTGGTCGAGCCGGACGGTTCCGTCCGTACAGTCCACTACACGGCCGATGACCTGAACGGTTTCAACGCCGTCGTCCACAAGACCGGCCCTGGCGTACACCCTGCTCCTGCTGTGCCTGCCAAGCCCGTCTTGGCGGCGCCGGCCCAGCCTGCCTACATCCCCTTCAACCACAAGCCGTTGGCCCCCGCGACCCCCGTGGCCTTTGACACCGGCAGCTTCTTTTCGCACCACCCGCCCCAAGCGCTGCCCACGGCCAGACCGCCCACCCCCATTTACCAGGCGGGAACGGCCCGTCCGGTGACCCCGGTGGAGACTTCAACCCCCTCCCTTCAGGAAACTCTGCTCGCCCTCTACCCTCAGCCCACCCCTCGGCCAGTCCAGCAGCCTCAACAGCCTCAACAGCCCAGTCGACCTGCGTACCGGCCCTACGGACTGCCGCCTCAGGTTTCGACGGGGCCCGTTCAGTTTCCACAAACGCCCGATGAGCAACAGCAGCAAACGCCGCAGTTGCCACCCCTCATCAGCAGACCGCAGCAGCAAAGTGCAGCTCCGTATTATTACAAGTAGAACACAAATTGCAGTTTTTTAAACAATATTCCTTTGGCGGTTCCTCTTTACGATTTTATATGTATCTCGCGTCCTTTTCCACAACTTAAGTTTTCTCCTTTTAGAGGAAAACAAATTCATAAATCAACCCCATAGCATCATTCATCCTTGTTTTAAAGTGTGGAACTGGTTGTTTGGAAATTCCCCGGGAACCGCCAATTTTTTACTTTCTTTACTTGTGTACATTTTGTCTTAAATTAGAATTACCTTCACCAAAGACTTGTAATGATAAAGTTGAAATTAATCTTGGTTGGTTGGCGAGAGTTACAAAAAAATGCAATCAAAACTTGACTAGGCCATATTTCCTCAACTACCTATAATTGTATTGCCTTGTAAAATGTACAATTTGTGTTCCTTGTAATAATCGCTTGGAAATTATCCCCTTCGGGGTGGTTTCAGTATTATTTCAGAAAAATTTCAACACAGTAGTAAATTTTGTGGTGCAAATGACTGTGATCATGGCACCGTTCTGTTAGTCTGATTGGCAGAGGGAATTCGAGCACGCAGCACGTGTGAATTGTGACCCACAAATATCAACTGCCTTGAACACGTTTAATTAAATTTTCACTTTTTATAACCTTAAAATTAATTAAGGCATAAGATTTTTTCATTAGTTTATATTTTGTCATGTATTGTTTTTATAAATAAAATGATTAAAAACTATCAGAGATTATCATTTAGAAAATCATAAACAACTTATGTTCATATGATACAAGTTATTAATTTATATTTATTCAAAGGAAAATTCCAGCAGTATAAAATGTTGATACCAATTGTTAAAACATCCAAATAATTCAATACAAACTATTTTGGCACCTGAGCAATTTTTTTTCTTTCTCTCTCAGTATCAAAAAGTGCTGTTTAAATACAAAATTTCTTCAAAAATTTAAAAAGGCCAAAATATTCAGACACTTTGTAAAAGAAGATTGAATTCAACAGAAAATATAACAAAATAATTTTAGTCTGGTTAGTCTTTAAAGTTACTAATCATTCATTAATTAAATGGCATAATCTAATAGATTTTAAGTTTTAATTGATGTCTTCTGCATTTTCTTTTTTCCAAATTACATAATTACTGTTTGCGCAAAATATTTACAGATCAAAAGTCATATTTTTTTTTTGGCTCACTCAAAAAGTACAGACATGGTCCTGTCTTCTGAGTCAGTGGCACTTTAAACTTCAAAATTGTAAAATTAATTAGATAATTAATCACATTTTAATTTAAAGACCTTCAGAAGAGAGATATGCCTTCAAATTGTAGCCGAGCTTGTGCAGAAAACGTCGCTTTGCGCAAAAAAAAATCATTTAACATGAAACAATTAATCAAGAAGATAGTTAATAAATTTGCAATAATAATCATTATTTATACAACAGAAAACTGGTGATGCAATCTTGAAGTTAAACCTAACGATTTTTACATAAAACCAATTTACACAACACCAAAATCGGTGTGAAGGGAGACATCACAATTGTTCTGCTTCTCATTGGCCGCCGCTGCCATGTTGACTTCGACCAGGGTGTCGATGCTGTTGATGCTGATGCCTTTGAGGATTTTCTGTGCGGTCAGCGACTTGAAATGCACGGTCAGGTCGCTCAGACTGGGAAAGGACGAGTGCAAAAGGTCTCCGTTGATTTTGTCAAGCTCGTTGTCCTCTCCGATTGATTTTCCATTGGTCAGGGAAGTTTTGCCCAAATTTTCCAACAGATTCAGACTGTCCGAAGGCTTCAACGGTTTGTCTAGACTGGTCTTCAGAGCCGAAGAGGAATTGTTGTTGCCCAACGAGCTGAGCTCGGTGTTGCTGTGGTACAGCAGATTCTTCAGGCTGCTCAGGGTCTCGGACCTTTTCCTTCCAACGTCCGAATTCACATTGTTCATCGAAGACTCGGGCAGCTGATTTTCAGCGTCACTGTTGGACACTTTAGGAATGGGCTGGTTGTTGTTTGCCACCTTCTGCTTGATTTCAACCTCGTCGGGGAGGTTCTCAACCGAAGGACACTTTTTGTTGAAAGAGGCCAAAGGCGAAACCTGCAGCTTTTTCTCCTTCGGAAGGTAGCAAGAGGATGGACGGGGCATGGGCTTCTTCACCGGGGCATCAACCACGCTCCCAGGGCTAGAGTGGGTTGGGGTGGCCACTGGGGTGCCATTCAAGGTCACCACTGACCTGTTTGGACTCTGCAAGACGCACACCCTGGCGCTGCCGTTCCCCGAAAAACTTGCTGTGGTTGTGGTCATGTCATTGGAGCCAAGCTTCAAAGGGCTGCGGCCATCCGAAGGGGCGTTTGTCCTCACCTGCAGGGTGATTATTGACCCTGGGATGGAGGTGGTGCCTGGTGGGAGAACAGGTTTTGGAGTTCCGGTGGGACTTGGGGACTTGATTGGCGACACCCTCGGAGTGTTCAGAAGGGTGGACGAGGTGGGGGAAATTTTGCTGCGGGGCGAATCGAAGCTGCTGATTATGGAAGGGGCGCCACCTGTGATGCTCGTCCCTGGGGAGGAGCCGGTGTGTTTGCTGCCGTTGGACGAGGACGTCGATCTCTGGCGCGAGGGCGCTCGAAGGGTTCCATTGCTGCAATAAGATCGATATTGAATAAAACTTATTTTTTACTCTTCATATGTATAATTTGCAAGAAAATTACAGGTTTCAATTAAAAGAATGTGCAAAGGTTCAAAAATTATGTTGCATAAATATAGGCTACCTATTTATTACTGTGCAAGGGGTAAAACAAAATGACTAAATGGACGAAAGAGACAATAAAAATAATTAAAAAATATAATAATCTTTTATATGATTATTTAGAATTACTCTTATTGAGACTCACAAGTTCCCAATTAAATTTGGAGTCATCAGAAGTCTGTAATACTGTTCCGAGCTTTTTGATTAATGATGCCACATGTTAGTGAAAATAATTTTATTTTTATTTTTTTTAAGCCTTACCATGACGGTGGATTGGAAGACTTTCTGTATGAGCGTGGTGTGTTGGAGTAGCTGCCAGAGTCTCCAGAGGGAAAGGTGAAATTGGTGTCTCCAGAAATATGGCGTCTCCGCCTCGGCAGGGTTGCTGCCCGCGAAGGTGGATCTTCAGACCAGGGAATGCTTGCTTGAGACCTTCCAAGGGATGTGTCTCTTGACTGCGAATTTCAATGGTCAAATAAAATTATTTCCTAAACAAATATTGCAAAACCTACCCTAGTTGCAGAAAGACTGTAGGAGGAGGTCCTCGTTTGGGTGCCAACAGAGTGCAGGTGGGTGACGCTGGGGTTGAACCACTCAGCAGGTGGGAATTGGGCTGAAAATGTGCTCAGGTTGCTCTCTCCCGATTCACTGCCATCTGCTCTGCTCAGGCGTTTATTGCTATTCCTGGTACCATTTCTCCTGAACAGCCTCGACAAGAAAGATGGACTTTTTTCTGCAAGATGAGTGATTGATTTAATGTTATTTTTTTTTTCAACTCTTTTTATTAATTTTAAAAATTATGAAAAAAATCTGTATAAAATAAAATTTACAAAACGTACGAAAATAAATTACCTTGTGGTTTAACTTCAACATCTCCCCAGTCCATTGTCCTTGAGCTGGTGGGCGATAGCCTCATAGAGCCACACCTGGGCAAGGAAGTGCTGTGGGACAGTCTCTTCTTGCTACCAAAAAGCCTCATCGAGTGTCTCCTCTCCAATATCCTTGAACCTGGCGATGGAGTCGGTTTTGCTCGTGGGTACAAAACTTTATCGTTGGGATTTCCTATGAATTTATGTATAATTTAGTAATTAAATCATTGTTATTTTTATTTATTATGCTTAAGTAAATAATAATAAAATGTTCCAATAAATATTCTTTTACGCATATATATTTTAAAATTGCAGTAAAACATAAATGTATGACAAGAACATAATATTGATTCGTAAAATTGTTTAATTGCTTTTTGTATAAATATTCTTTAATGAGTTCATTAATAATTATTACCTCCACAAATTACATCCGCAAGATTGGTTTGTACTGCTTGGTGTGTCCGGTCTCCATCGCGAATGGTTTCCATTTCGCCGTGAATGTAGGCAAGGGCCTCGTCCGTTGACATGAGAACCGTTTTGGGCGCGTGAAGATGATCCCCAACCGAATCTATGACACTCGATCTGTGGTGCGGGGAGACCGAGTGGCCTGCCCTGGAGCTAGGCCGACCCTGGGAGTTGCTGCGTCGCCGTCGACTCTCAGGAGTCACCACAAAATAGCCTCTTGAAGTGTGGTAAATCTGGAACAGTCAAAACTTGTCAAACAAAATGCTCTCAAATTACATCAGGAAGCGACAGCGCGCTTTTTACTTTCTCGCCTCTGCAACGAGCTGTTGCGGCACAAAGATATTTTTTATGATTTTATGTGCCATTTTTTGTTTATTAATAATTAAAATGTTCAGTTCTTTTATCTTATACAAATTTGTACCAATAATATGCCTATTTTTATGAAACACTGTATGCAATGAAAACAATTTAATACCAATTTTTTCGTTTTTAAAATAACAAATCAAATTTTTATTTTTAAATGTTTAATAGTTAAATAAAACTAACTTTTACTCAAAAAAAAAAAGAAAAAAGAATAATATTTAATTAAATTTATAGTATAAATTCAAAATATTAACTAAAAATATCTTCATTATTTCTAATAAATTAAATATAAACTTTAAATTAATTATTAATTTAACTTATACTCTTACTAATTGTAATGAGACTTCATTTTTGATTTCTTAATTTGATAGAAATTTTGAAAATGTCAATAATATAAAAGGGATAAAAGTAGATATCCCATTTTGAATTTTAAATTTTGGGAAACTAACCTTTCGTTCTTGCATGAGCTTGGCGAGTGCGTCATAAATCGTGTGCTCTGAAGGAGTTTCCATGACTGCAGGGAAGGATCGCTGCAACGCCGCCCTGACGGCCTCCAAAGACGCCGGCTGACCCGCAGAGGTGAGCTCCAAAACCACCCAGCACAGCGCCTCTGGCAACGGAGTGAATTGGCTTTGCGGTAATGACTGGACCAAGCACTCCTCCACGTCTCCTGAAACCAAGCAAAAAGCAAATGAGAAAAATAATAATTATAAAAGAGGCGGCGAGCGATTCATTAAGAGGCAGTGAACTTTTGCTACACATATAAAGTTTGAGGAAAAAACGAGAAGAGCCACAGTGGTGTCATTTCTGGTGACGCTCTGTTGTTTCAGCGCTTGTTCCATTTCGTTAATCCCCTTGAATTCCAACTGCCTAGAAGAAAGGAAAGAACGAGATATGCGCCAAGAGATGCCAGGGTTATTTCGAGTTCAAACTCCTACTTTGCCTCAAAACAAAAACACGAAAATTCCAGGGCACAGATATTTTTTTAGAATGCTCGGATTTTTTGCATATTAAATTTCCTCTTTTTTATTATAGAAGTTTAGCAAGGAAAATTTTCATCTGCTTTGAAAGTCGTAAACAGCGTCACACATTTTTCGGCCTTTGTTTAATAATTGAATTACGACGGTCCGCATAGTATGAAAAGAATTCTCCGCAGACCTCAATCGCATTACTTTTATTATTTCAGCTGTCGAGTTTAATCTAGGAAGTGCAATTAGAGTTTGCGGCGGACGGCGCACATGCAGCCGGCTGGGCGTGTTTTTGAGCCACACGCCACGTACCATTGCAAATCTCAAGTGTTTGCGGCAAAAGTGAGTCACACGAGCGTGGTTGCAACTTGAAGAAATCAAAACAAGGATTTGCACACTTAAATCATTAAAGAAAACGCGGGTATCACAATCATTATGAAATATATTGAATAAAATTTGAGGAAAAATTTTAAATAATTTAACTTTAAATATCATGATATTTACTATTTTTAGCCAATTAGATATAAATTTCAAGTCCTATTTTTTATCGTACATCTTATCATTTGTGGCTTTTTCTCACAGAAAAAAATCAAACTTGTTATTGACCTCGATGACCGTAATTAAAGAACTTTATCAAAAAGAAAAAACCTTCTTCTGCCCGACCTTTGGCAAAATATAATGCGATCTTGTTGAATGCGAATAATTTTAAATATTTCTTCTTGCTGGTAATCAACTTTTTCTTTCGTGCCCGTTTTTTGCTTGATGCCTGCGCGACCTTTAACTCGCGCGATTTTGTTTGAGTGTAATTTGCAGTCGTGCCCGCTCGCGATTTGCAGACGAATGAGATCAGCGGCAGACCAGTCTGTGACTTTGCGAGCGAGAGTAAAAAGGAAACTCCCTGCGATACCCGTTTGCAAGGTGTATTTTTTTCCTTTCTTTTCGGCTGATCTGCAGCAGCAAATCGAGAGAGCAGTAGAAGAAGGATGCGGAGAGCAACTCACGTGCTCGCAATAATAATAATGAATAAAACGCGCGCCGGTTTGCAAGAAAAGCAAGCAAGAAGGATCTACATGCCGCCAGCAGGTCAACTTTTTCACTGTGCCCTTGAATATTATAAACTTGAAAAATGACTTGTGCGAGCCTCTCGCGTAAATAATATTATTATGGTTTACAGGGAGAATGAGCACCATCATGATCATAATAAAAATATCAAGCGCGATCGAAGGAAGCTTCGATTTTTTGTTAAAATTTTTAACTAGTAAATTTTTCTAGATATATTTTTAATAGACGGTTTTTCAAATATAATATTATTGATAATATCAAAGGAGAGGAAATTATTTTATCCATCTTAAAAATATTTAGAATTTTGACTCACATTAGGAAAATTTCATGTTTTGCTTGTTACGCAAGATGCGCTTATTTGATTAATAAACCTGCTGACCCGCAATACATATTTCCCTATCAGCATAATTATTATAAAATATTATTATTTGCTCGAGTGGATTCAAAAACAACCGACGCTATCACCACCAAGCATAATTCCAAAGAATGGCCGATCAGTCTGAATTGAATAAAAAAAATTTATCCCGAGGCGTGTGGTCGTGACACAAACAAAATCACGAACACGTCCGCACCTGCACCGAGGGCGGAACTTGTAATTTGTTTGCAAAGTTCCTCTCCAAAGTGCTGCGAGGCTTGTTTTGGTGAACAATGCGTACTAATCCACCGGCTAATTTTGCATGCGTAGCAGAAAATCCACAATTCCTTCTGCCGAAAAGGGCACGCGGCTCCTTTTTGCGTCACAATTTCGCTAATTTCGCTGGAAATGATTTAGCATGTGGCTAAGGCGATTTTATTTGCATTTAATGCGGCATAAAAGGAGCCTGCTTGCTGCTGGGCGAAGGACAAAACACGCGACTTCCAAACTTGATCTGGCGGCGGCTTTTTTGGAACGGTTCCAGGAGCCTCGCTTGCTTATCTTCTTATTCTCGCTCAGTGCCACTTTTGCATCTACTTTTGACAAAGGCATTTCGGCTCATTACGGGTCGGCCGAGAAGATCATGCTGTCCGCATTGCGTCATTGTTTGCGCGGATTAGCGCTTTTATTGCGCCGCCACGCTGTGCGAAAAAGGCCACCGTGCAACTGATTGTGAGAAACAGCCGTCGACCCGGACTTTGCATTGTGTTTTATTTGGGAAAGGAATTTTCAAGGATGACAGGGATGTTTGACTCGTATACAAATTTACTGTTGGAAAATTGCAAATTTGGCTTTGTTTCGAATTTAAAAAAAATTAACTTATAGATTGAGTGTGTTTTTGTCATTTTAATTGAATAAATTATCCTACTGTGAAAAATACTTTTTTGGTTACATAGTTATATTCAAACATATTCCCTCACAATGTCCGTTGATACCGGTGCTGATTACAAAAAAAGCACGCATTCAACTTTCAAATTAATTACTTGCAAAAAAAAACTATAAATGTGTGTTTCAGCTACAATCAAAATCAATTATTAACAATATAGCCATGCAGATGCCAATTAAATTGAAGGTTAAGAGTCAGCTAGAAACTTGCTAATTAAAATTTTGAGCGTGGGCGTTTCCGAATGCCCAAATTTGTACTCGAGTCAGCCAAAATAATCGATTACTAATCACGCAGAAAAGAAAGTTCTATAAATTATCTCGCTGTCAGAGCGAGCTGCCTGCTTCGCTAATGATCATTCATAATTTCCATCTCGTATAATCAGAGCAGCCTTCCCTTTCTTCATGCCGCTTCGAAACGTGACTCTCCGAAGAACACAATATTGAAACAAAACTACATTAACGAACGATACACCGTATTTTTTCTACGTACACCGATCAACTGATCAAATAACCTTTCAATCAATTTTAAATTTGGTTTAGTGAGCTCAAAGCCACCATAAATTTTGATCTGACGGTTGAACTAACTAATATGAGAAGAAGGATTGGATTGATTTAAATGGTCTATGAATAATCCTTCAAACTTAATGTAATATTTATTTATGTGGGAGCCAATGTACATTAACAAAGCGAAAACAGCATTGAAAAGTCAAGCATTTATATTGAATTTATATGAAAAAAAAAATACAAACTAAAGGAGGGCTGTAATTGCAATTAAAAATATATAATTAAATGATAATATTTAAATTACAAGACTTCTTCCTGTACAACTTTTGGGTCAACGTGATAGGGAGTGAATTAACTCATTAATTTTAATTTCTTCATCGCTGTACTGTGCAATTATATAAAATTATTTCAAATGATTACAAAATACAAATTTTATAATAAATTCTTATATTTATAAATATTATTTGCTAAGTAAGAAATTTGCTGTATTTCGAAAAATTAATTTAAAAAAAATTATAAATCTAATTAATGTGATATAAGAAAAAATATTAAAGAAGGAATTTATTTAAGAAATAAAATTTTATTTTAATATCAATAAGTTTTTTTACTACACCAATAAACTCCTGTTTAGCTTTCATCACTCGAATTACGCGAAAATTAACATAATCAAATGTTTATTCATAGATAATAGGCTTGCATCACCGAAATTGAATTTGCATGCAATTTTAGCGACCGACGGCGGTGGCGGTTCAAGAAGCTGCAATCGTTTGCCGGCTTGCACGCGTGCGTAACTCTATATTTTTAATACTTTTAGTTTCGCCACTCACTCTCGCACACGGGCTACTGCATTATTCATTTAATACCTTTTGCACGCGGCAGCACACATGCATTCGCTGGAATTTTTGCGTCACTCAACACTTCTCCAATGAAAGAAAGCAAGAAGTGAGAAATAAAAATAAAGAATGAAGCTGCGTGCGCTTTTCATCGCTCGACTTTGCACAATATCGGGTGACACGCGTGGAAAATGGCACATGCCGGGTTATTAGTGCAGCGCCGGCGGAAAAGTGAGGTAAGACCAAAGTCAGATCGGATGAGGGGTGCCCAGATTGAATGTCTCTTATTTGCATGACGCGGTGAGTCACTCTTTCACCGACTGATATTATACCTGTCCTGTCAATATTAGCATCAGAGAAATGCACTCAATCTGCGCTTGCTTATAATTATTTACGTTAATCCAATCAGTTTAATGTTTAATCTAATGATGTTGTGTCGAAAAAAATAAAATCATTTTATCAAATAATCCAAAATTACCAACCAATTAAAAACCAACTCTTAATAATTTTTTGTTTATATTTAAAAAAAGTTATAATTGAATATACAAGAAATAAAATGACGTATGAATTTATCAAAATATTTATTTCTACAGTTTCTTCGTTGCTTGGCAAAAATTCTTATTGGGACTCTTTATATTTTTTAAAAAATTGTATTGATTTAAATCTCTTTAATTTGCTTCCTTTTATTCGTAAAAGAGTTAATTCTATACCCAATGAATCCACCTCTCATTGCATCAAGAAATAACAAGATATAAGTCTGGCGGCGCTTAATTCCACGAGCACTTTCAATTTATTTCACCCACTCGACTGTCTGGCCAAATTAATGGCATCGCCGCCGCTTTTTGCACACAGCGAATTCGGCGGCACTCATTAATTAGAGCGTCTGCTGTGCTCTGCCACTGATATGTCGCGGTTTAGTTTTATATATAATTGCTGCAGCAACAGCCGCATCATCCCTTTCAGACAAAAAAACGGCAACACGCCCAGCAGCTAACGTGGGACT